GCTTGAACTCAGGGCCCGGGCACTGTCCCTAGGCTTCTTTTGCTTAAGGCGAGCACTCTACCACAGCGACACTTCTGGATTTTTCTGTCTATGTGGTACTGAGGAATCAAACCTAGGGCTTTATGCATGCTAGGCAAGTACTCTACCACTAAGCCACATTTCCCAGCCCACTAAGCAGCTGTAATGATGGAATTGGATAGGCCAGCACTGGGAGAAGGAAAAATTTCAAATGAACTTATTCCAGCCCAGGGAAGGCAGAGGACAGGATAAAGGACTCTCGAGCCTCAGTTTTGTTCTGTTGAGATATTGACAGTAGCTATTGTGCAGGTAGATTTGTGTAACTTTTGGTCCTCATGAAGGTGAAAAGCAAAGCTAGTTGTAAAGTTATGCCCACATTCATCCAGGGCTGTGACCAACATGCTTTATAACTTGGAGTAAGAATAGCTGGAGGCAGATTTGGTGGTCCCTGAGCACCTGGATGTCTGGGCATCTAGGTACTTGCGGTATAGACTTGACACATATTGGCCCCTAATAAAGGTGAGTCCAATTACTGAGGAGGAGGCCGTTAGTGGGGAACAATGTTGAATTTGATTGAGCTTATGTCTTTGAGGATTGTAAAATATATTAGCAGGAAGAAACTCAATAATATGCAGGGCAATAACCTTACGTAAATAGATTATATATCTTTTTTTTTTCTCTAGAAAAAGATAAAAAATGAAGACCTCATGCTTTTCAAGGGAAGTGCTAGGGTCCTCGGTCCCCAAGAGACCTCTGATGCCCTTTCACTCAGTGGGGGATTTGCCACTGGAAACTCTTAGAAACGGGAGGAGCCTTTTTCTCCTCTCTGTGTGTGATTGCCTTGTGAGTGATATAGATACATTTGGAATTTTCAGGACAAAATGAAACACCCTTTTGCCTGCCAAACATAGAGTGTCATTTGTCTTTTCAGGTCACCTTGTTGTATTGGCAACCCTGGGTCACAGTGGGTAGTTCTCTGTTCGCGATGGCATGCCACTGACACCCTGAACTTGGGGCATGGCATTTGATGGGGATGACATTCCTTTATAGACAAGAAAGCACATATTGCATTATTGCTGGCCTGTTCCCATCCTAGCGTTGTCCCAGTGAGGGCAGGGGTTTGAGAAGAACCAGGAAGCAAGGGTCTCATTGAGTATGTGACAGGCTGTTTGATGCAGCCTTTTGGGTCTAATAAATGTTAGTGTTGGCTTTATCAAAGCAAAGGGGCATGCTACATTTCAGAAATGTCTTTGATTTCTACTCTCTGCCAGAAACTCTGCTCAGAATACAGTGGCATGATAATTTGTGGAGGGGAAGGGGAAAAACAAATCGTTTAAATAGGGATACAGGTGGACCCGTTGCAATAATGAGAAGTACAAGTTGTTATGTCGAAAACGAACTTTACAACTTTGGTGGGGGGGGGGGGGGATGGGAAGTGATGGGAAGGGGAAACAAAGGAGGAGGCTACAATGCTTGATAAGAAATGTATTCATTATCTTGCCCATGTAATTGTAACCCTTCTGTACAGTATTTTCACAATAAAAAAAGAATACAGTGGCATGCAACCTTTTCTTTCCTTGTCCCACTAGGGAAGAGGTAAAGGAAGTACAACCTGGAAACGTTTGTGGGTCTTTTTTTTTTTGTTGTTGTTGGTTGTGGGGCTTGTATTCTGGGCCTGAGCTCTGTCCCTCAGCTCTTCAGCTCAAGGCCAGTGCTCTACCACTTGAGCCACAGCGCCACTTCCGATTTTCTGAGTGGTTTATTGGAGAAGTCTCACGGACTTTCCTGATCGGGCTGCCTTTGAACCATGATCCACAGATCTCAACCTCCTGAGTAGGATTACAGGTATGAGCCATTGCCACCTGGCTGTTTGTAGCTAAGAATAAATAGGTTTTTATAATTGTTGTATTATAATTGAGGTCATTGTGTGTATGTGCACGTTTACCTGCGCATGTGCTGGTACTGAGATTTGAACTCAGGGCTTGCCTTGGGCACTGTTGCTTAGCTTTTACATTCAAAGCTGGCTCTCTACCATTTGAGCCACAGCTCCGTTTTCTGGCTTTTTGCTGGTTTATTAGAGGTAAGAATTTTGTGGATTCTCTGACCATTCTGGCTTCAAACTGAGATCTTCATATCTCAGCCTCATGAATAGCTAGGCATGAGCCCAAATGCCTAACAGTCATGAGCCACCAGCACCTGGCTAATTGTGGTCATTTAAGTCAAGAGTGTTGGTAAGTCAGAAGATACAGATGCTTTCCATATAGCATTCTCACTTAGTCCAGTGAAGCTGTGAACCAAGGGGCAGAGGCTTTGTCTGGATATATGGTATGTCAGATATGTTATCCAGCCACTGTTCCTGACTGTGAGTAATCCCAGGTGATTGTGATGTATACCATTTCAACCTTCTTACAGTATGTAGAGGTATTGGCATCATGGGATACATGGATGGAGCTGAGAACAAGCAGGTACTGACAGATGTGACCTTCTATTTAAAATAATTTTTAAATGTTTTTTAGTGGTATTTTGAACTAAGTAGGTATTCTATTACTTGACTCACACCTCCATGCCTTTTTCCTTTAGTTATTTTTCAGACAGGATCTTGAAGGCTTTTTTTTTCTTTTGTTTGTTTGCTTTTTAACCTAGGGCTGGCTTCAGTATGGTCTTGCTACCACTATTTTTCCATGTAGCTGGAATTCCAGGTATAAACTACCACACCTGGCTTTAAAAATTATTTTTGAAGCAGGCAGTGGTTCTTGTAGTATTGCTTAGAAGCTTAGGTGACTTTGGCATTTGTGAACCTAGTTGGAAGGTGTCTTCCCTTGAAATGTCTGTAGACATTTTATAGTGATGAGGCTGTTGCTGGCAGGGGCGGGGGGAGGCGTCATAAGTATAATTATTCTTATTCAAATCCATGAAATTGAAACAGCATCCTGAGTGTCTCCACCAGAAGAACCAAAAAACGAACTTTACAATTTAGGCAGGGGGTGGGGGTGTGTGTAGCTAAGTAGGTGGAAGGGAAGGGATGGTAGGGGAAAAACGAAGGAGGAAGCAACAATGCTGGATAAGAAATATACTCATTACCTTGCTCATGTAACTGTAACCCCTTTGTACAGTATTTTCACAATAAAAAACATTTAAAGTTAAAAAAAATCCTAGGTTTATGCTTCCTTGTATACTCTCCTGAGAGCCCAGGAGTACCCACAGACAAGCACTCATGCCCTGAACGCAGGAAGAGGGTCTATCTCACCAGCGAGTGGGAGCTGTGTAGCCCCAGCATGGTCTTGGGTGGCTCTGCTCAGTAGTGTGTCCAGCTCCACCCAGCACACGGTCATGTTTGCCTTTGTGCTTAGTGAGCAAAGGCCTGGGAGAACTCTGTCACACACAAATGTCACCCTAGAGCTTAACAGGAGGCCAGATGAAAGATGTGCAATTCCTAGTAAGTGCTATGTCTATTTATTTATTGGCTCTTACCTGGTTTGCTGAAGAGAATAAATATTATGGCTGGTGGTAGTGGTGCAGTAGTTTTGGTCCAGGTGACTCTGAGGAAATACAAATTACTCAGGCAGTCCCTGCTCCTGTATCTACTACATTTGCATACACACACACACACACACACACACACACACACACACACACACACACACACTCACACAGCTGTTTTTAGACATGCATGTGGCTAATCTTCATCCATGTGTAGATTTTCTCATTTGCCTTCTGCCTTATTTGCCTTATACTTGTATCCTTTTCACTGATGCGAATGGTCAGTTAATGAGTCCATTTATCCAGCCAACCTTTTATTGATTCTTGGTTCTGCTAAGGGCCCCATACTCAGTGCTATGGATGGAATGGTTAATTGAGGGTATTGAAGCACCCAGTTTAGGTGGGGAATCCATATACAGACAACTCTGGGAGCAGACAGATAACTTGCCCTGAGTCTGCATAGAGCACTCTGCTGTGTGCTTGTTGCTCTGAGCACTGTGGAACAGCCATGAAGCCCAGTGTATGCAGCCTGAGGTTTGAAAGACTAGGTTGATTGGACACACTTTTGAATGGGAGCCTCAGTCTTTAGTCTTAAAGTCAACCCTGGTCTCCACAGGGCTCTTGGCTCCTCCTTTGGCACAAAACACCAAGCAGATCATTTAGCTGAGAGTCTTGTCCATACATTTAGGCCAAGAAGGAAGAAGGAGGTGTTTTGCAGGGCTTGTGAGTGAGGATCAGTCAGCATGGGCTATGTCAGCCCATATTGTTACATCCTTGCCTGCCTTCCTGTGGGAGTCTAGGGTGTGGCCCTCATCTCCACTACTGTTAATATGTTTTTTTTAAAAAATATTTTTTATTGTAAGGATACTGTACAGAAGGGTTACAGTTACATGAGTTAGGTAATGAGTGCATTTCCTATTGAGCATTGTTACCCCCTCCTTTGTTTTCCCCCTACTATCCCTTTAATCTCCTCCACACTTAGCCTCTCCTCTTTAGCTTTGTTCTGGCCTCTCCCTCCCTACTCCTGAATTCCTTTTCTTTCCTCCTTTCATGGCCTCTTGACACTTCTGCCCCCTCATTAGGGCTGCTATCATTGAGCAGGACCTTGACTGCTGCTACTTGGTACTCGTCTCCATGGTGATGCCAATATCAAGTTCATAGGACAGTGGTTAGATTTGCAGGAGGTGAGTTTTGGTATCTTCTAGGGATGATGGTAGTGGTAGTGGGGTGTCCTCTGCTTTCCTCTTCCTTGCTCTTTGCTTAGGGTATTCCTCAGTTCTGCCTTTGGTGCCATGAGGGTTCTCCTCACCTCATTTTCAGTCCTGCATCTCCTGGGTCTGCCTATTTGGTTGGTGCCCCCATTACCTTACACTGATGGGCCCTCAGCTCAGCACAATGGAAAATGAGGATCTGAGTTCAGCTGTGATGCAGTTCCACCTGGAACTGCGTGAGAGTGCAGTGAAGTAAATGTGGCAACATCCAGGTTGGCTGTATTTGTAGACTGGGCTTTTAAGAAAAGAGTTAAGGGGATTAGTGCCCTTTAAGAAGAGACAGCAGAGAGATTATTGCCTCTGGGCCACATGGAAGGGCACAGTAAGAAGTTGACTGTGTAACCCAGGGAAAGAGTCTTAACCAGGATCTGCCTGCATCTTGGACTTGGACTTGTAGCCTCCTAGGACTGTGAGACATAAACGTCTAAGACATTTTGTTAGAGCAACTAAGCAATGCTGTTGCTTCACTTGGACCCTTGTTATGTTAGAGAGCTGCTCAGCACTATTCATACTGGTGTACTCCTCACCTGACAAAGGTATGCTTACTGGCTGGGCTCCCTCAGGCTTGGAAACAAGACTCTGCTCTTTCCCTGATGATAGTGCAGTAGAATGGGACGTGAAGTCCATTGCTCTCTTATAATTTTGCCTAAGCGGAACTCATGAGAATCACACATCTAGACCACTGAGCCTATTTCAGGTACCATGTGCACCTGGGGCTTCCTGCTGGTCTCCCTCCCTTCCTCACCTCCACTTTCCTCTAGCCAGTGACAGATCACAGTGGGAATGCACCTCCTTTCTAGGTCATCTTGCTTCTAACAGAAATGAGGATGCTTGCTTTGGGAAAGTTTCTTTTCACTTCATTTTTATGTATTTGAATTATTGGAAAGGGTTAGAAGTGGGAGGTTGGGAAGAAAGAAGGAGACCAATTTGGGATAAAATGAGTCTTTCAAAGCAGTTATATGAATTGGAGGGAAAAGATAGAAAATGTAGATGCTATTGCTGTTATTAGCTTAAAGGATGTTTGGGCCCTGGAAGCTTCTAGTTTGCTCTTTGATGGAGTAAAGCCATTGGGTTGCTGTTAGAGTTCACTTCTTTATATCTGTCAGCCACATCAAGATGGATTTTTTTTATTCTTCTTCCTTCTTGTTTATTTTTTCTTTTGTTCTGTATATAGATGCCATCATAAGTTGGCAGACAATACGTAAGTAGAAAATACATTTAGCAATCTAACATACAAAGTATCCCAGCCTACCTTGAGCCTGCCCAAAATACTTAATGTTAGCCTTCATTGAGCAGAACCATCCCTCACAAAGCCTGTTTTACAATAAAGTGTTCATTATCTCATGCCATTTATTGAATACCTATATGAAAAATGCTGACCACACAGCACACTGAGGAGCATGGGTTTTTCCCCTTGTGATGGTGGAGCTGACTGAGACCTGTGGTTTGCTACCTCTGCCCAGAATCCTTAGAGAGGATACAACTGCGTATGGTTATTCTGGAAAAAGATCCAAATGGGAAGAATGGTTTCTACTCAACATACATTGTTTTCAGACTGTCTTTTGATCAGAAATTTGCAAGATGGATGACCATGATTAATTTGGCAGTCATCTACCGTTAATAGGGATTGATATTTTGAAATCACTTACCTTCACCTCCTCTTGACAAGTTCTTAGTATTCCCACCCATCTGCAGTCATCTTTAGGCCACTAGTACAGATTATACAAGATGCTCCTGTGGATCCTTGCTGAACTGTTCACGTGAGTGTAGATGGCCCACCTGCCTGCCTTAACTGACTGACCAGACGTTTGGCTCTTGCTCCTTAGCTTTCTGGTGGTCAGTGAGAGACCAAAGTCTCAGTTAGAGGTGGCACTTGTATCCCTAGGTGTTTCACAGAGTATATCCAACTTCTTTGCATCTAGATACTTTTTCAACTGAAGAAAGTTTCCTGATGAGTCCTTCTGTTGGAAATATTTGTGTAGATCATGGCTTAAGAGGGCAAGAGTATATGATGGAGGGTCAGGTTATAAAGCCCTTATTGTCCATCATGATGTGCTAGTGAGAGGATATACCTTGTTCAGTATTCTTTAGGTTTGCTGCATAGTTTCATAAAGGCCTGGGCTTCAGAACACAGGTAACTCAAGCCTGTAATCTGAGCTACTCAGGAGGCTGAGATCTGAGCATCAGAGTTTGAAGCCAGTCTAGACAGGAAAGTTCACAAAGCTCTTATCTACAATTAACCAGCAAAATGCTGGACCTGCAGCTGTGCATCAAGTGGTAGAGTGCTATCCTTGAACAAAAAGCAAGACAGTGCCCAAGCCCTGAGTGAGTTCAAGCCTCAGTAGTAGCACACGTGCATGGATGTGAACACACACATACATGTACATGTATATATACACACACATACACCTACACACAGACTTGGGTTGCTGCCCATATACTTATTAGTTTCTGCTTCAGTTGTCTGCAGTGGGCCTCAGAGTTTGCATTTCTGAAACTTGAGGCATGACTGCTCTCCATCAGATACAGAGGATTATACAGATTCGATGTGAGCAGTCCTCAACTAAATCCCACAGCACACAGAGGTTGAAGTTTGGCTTCACTAACTTCTTGGAGTAGATGCACATGAATCATTGTAGCATATTCATATATTGACTGCAGAGAGGCAGCACTGACTTATCTTCAAAACATCTGGATTTTTATTGCCTCTTCTGTGTACAGTGTTGTTTCTTGTTTGTAAAGGAGGAAGAATTAGAAGTTGAAGTGAGCTAAAAATACGGTAAACTGCTTCTTCCTCAAAGCCTATAAATAAACCTGAACTTGCAGACATGAAAGTAAACCATTAAGAAACAGTGCTCTTGTCATTAGAATTTTTTGATCCGATTAAACTGACAGTCTCATTTCTTGACTTCCTGCAGCACGTGTAATTGCCTACTATCTATTTATAGTCCATCCTGCATGATTGACTCAAAGTGGGAACTGGTAGTAAATGTGGGCTTCTTGGTGCTTTGAGGTTTGCAGGTGGTCAGACTGTCAGGACAGGTCACATCCTGTACCCTGGCACTGACAGGGATGATGGGCATGTGAGGGGGAGCCAGGCCACCGGTATCTGAGAAAAGCCACATTTGGGCTCTCTCTACCTTGCCCTTTGTGAACTGGGCCAAGCAGTGCTAAGGTGTCTTAGTGCTCATAGGACATCTCATGTACCTGTTCTTTTCTTAGGTGGAGGTGCTTCTCACTAGAGTGGGCTGTTGGAGCTCCTGAACCCTTGCTTCCATTCTCAGCACTGGGGGAGAGATGTATGAATAGGTGGAATGTGTCCTGATGCCACTTGGCCTCTTTAAGGCTGCTGGCTGAGTGAGTGTCTTGCCTCTGGCAAGCCCATGAGGGATACCAACTGAAATGTTAGGCCTCTGCATGGTTTCAGAGGGAGGCCTAGTTGGTCAGTATGACCTCTATTCCTAAGTTTCTTTGCCCTCAGTGTCCATCAGCCATAAAGAGAAACTAGGCTTGTGCTTTTGGCATTAGAGCTTCATAAGAATTAGACAGCACCATGTGGGTGTTTTTGACCACAGCTCAGGAAAGAAATGTTGGGGCTGTCAAAGTACCCTTGAGGAATGTCACTGAGAGTGGTTATTAATGCACGAGGGAGGCATCCTGAAACTGGGTAGCCTGGGCTCTGCTGTTTCTGCACCTCTGTTTTCTTGCTTGTTAAATGTAAGGGGTTGTAGCTGAAGCTATTCAATTCTTCCCATTTAGGATTTAAGTTCTCGTTATTTCTAAGAGAAAGTTCATTCATTTTTAAATTTTTTAAATTTTTTTCCTTAACATGTATAGAAGAATTTTATTGTGACAATTTTTATACATGCATCTGATGTACTTTGATCATATCGATTCCTTTTATTGCTTTTTCTTTTTTTAATATATATTTTTTATTGTAAAGATCTGTACAGAGAGGTTACAGTTACATGAACAAGGTAATGAGTATTTCCTATGGAGCATTGTTATACCCTATTTTATTTTTCCCCTACTATACCTTCTCACCCCACCTCCCCAACTCCTCCCTCCCACCCCTCCCCCGCAAAGTTGTAAAATTCATAAAGGGGTAGCCTAAGCTGGTCTCAAACTCATGATCCTCCTGCCTCACCCTTCTTGTTGATTACCAGCATGTGCCACCACGGCCGGCCACATTTTCTAGATCCATTCATCTACTGAGGTGCATCTGGGTTGGTTCCATGTTGGTTCCATATCTTAGCTATAGATAATAATACTGCAATAAACCAGTTGGTCATAGAAGAGATTAGAAAGGAAATTCAAATGTTCATGATATTTAACAAAAATGAACACACAAATCACCAGCTCCTCTGGGATGCAGCAAAGGCAGAACTCAGAGGCAAGTTTATAGCTCTGAGTTCTTACATCAACAAATTGTAGAGATCTCAAATCAACAATTTATTGATGCACCTGAAGCTCCTTGAAAAAGAGCAACAAGACAAACCCCAATCCAATAGAAGGAAACAAATTGAAATTAAATCAGAATTAAATGAATTAGAGTCCAAAAAACTCATAGAAAGAGCAACAAACAAGGAGTTGGTTCTTCGAAAAAAATAACAAAATTGACAGACCCTTAGGAAATCTTCCCACAAAAAGGAGAACACACCCAAATAAACAAAATCAGAGAAGAGAATGGAAATATCACCACAGAAACAACCAAGATTCAGAACAGTATAAGGGAATACTTCTTAAACCTCTATGCCAATAAGCTTGGGAATCTGGAAGAAATGGATGAATTTCTTGCAAATATTGACATACCCAAACTAAACCAAGATGAGGTAAACCAACTTAACAGATCCATATCAAGCATTGAAATAGAAACAGCAATAAGAGACCTCCCACCCAAGAAAAGCTCAGGACCAGATGGATTTACAGCTAAATTCTACAAGGCCTTCAAAGCAGAACTCACACCAATACTCTTCCAACTGTTCAGTGAGACTGGAAGTGAAAATTCTCTACTACTTCTATGAAGCCATCATAACCCTCATCCCAAAACCAGGCAGGGACTCATCAAAGAAAGAGAACTATAGAGCCATTTCTTTGATGAACATCGATACAAAACTTGTCAACCAAATTTTGGCCAATCGACTTCAACTCATCAAAAAAATCATACACCACGATCAAACAGGATTCATTTCAGGGATGCAAAACTGGCCTCAACATAGGCAAATCAATTAATATAATTCATCACATTAACAAGAACAAGGATAAGAACCACATGGTTTTGTCAATTGATGCAGAAAAGCATTTTGACAAGATCCAACAGCCTTTTAATTTGAAAGCTCTGGAAAAACTAGGAATCCATGGAACATTCCTCAATATAATAAAGGCTGTGTATGACAAACCTACAGCCAGCATTATACTTAATGGCGAAAAGCTAAAGCCATTTCATCTGAATTCAGGAATGAGATAAGGATGTCCATTCTCTCCACTTCTCTTCAATTTAGTATTAGAAAGCCTAGCAAGAGCACAAGATGCAAACATAAAGGGGATCCAAATAGGGAAAGATGAAGAAAGTTCATTCATCTAGAGAAGTAGTATAAATTACAACCTCACTGATAAGCAGTGGGTCCTGTATTTCATCTCTCCTAAGTAACTTCTAGAGCCTGCTTTTCAGTTTTTCTTGGTATGGAAAATTATTAACTCGGTGGGCAGGAAAGTTGGGACTTTCTCTGCTATTTGGGGCAGATAGGAGCAGGAAATATGTGGAGCTTAAAACCATCAATATGGAGAACATATCTTCTCCCCTCTTAACATTCTCACCATCATCATCTGCCATTGTAGGCCAGAAGCTTTAGCTTTGCCCACCTCCCTTCCAATGTCCTTTTTCTTTCTGTTGACTTCATTCCAGATAAGTTTATTACACAGTACACGTTCATTCATTTGGCGTGATAAACTTCTCTAGAGTAGGGAGCATTTTGATTGATTCACAATAGAAATGATCACAATAACCTAGTGCTGATACAGGGTTTAGCATTTCTACTGTGATAACTCTGACAAACCAGTGATGCACATTCTCCTTACAGCTATGAGAGGCAGATGCAGTTGCCTTTGTGCTCTTGTTGCTATTGGTAGTTAACGCTTTGTGTCACTAAATGTTTGCATATCTGTTGTGTATTGTATATCTGAGTTAATTCTTAAGAATGAAGTGGTTATTTTATTTTGGGTTATTGGAGTTCCAGCTACCAAGACTATTTCTTTTCAGGGCAGGGACAGGAGAGTGCATTTAAAAGCAAATTAGTTCTAAGGAACAGGGTGACAAATTCTGAGTGGGCTTTGCACAGTTCATCCAAGACCTTCCCCAGCCTCTTCCTGGACCTTGGTAGGGCTTGATCACCCTTATTCGGGTGATTGGAGATGGGTGAGATTATGGGTCTTGGCCACATCACTCACTGTAACCCTGGGAGGGGTGTATTTTGCTGGACTTCACACACGGCAGGTAGTTTTCAGCCTGTTTGTTTCTAAAGGCCCTTCAGATTGTCACATTTCATTATGATCTTGACATTTGTAAAATGTGATTTTTTAGTTACCAGGTTAATCATATTCAATGTTGGTTATTAAGGTGGAGAGAATTATAGAATGAATTGCCTCCATTAGCATTTCTCAATTGATGACCAATCTTGTTTCATCTAATCCCCCATTTGATTATTTCTAAAGTGAATTCCAGATATTTATTCATGTTATTTCAGTAACAGTAATTCCTTAAAAAAACATACAGTCAAGTGCTCAGATTTCCAACAAATAGAAAGCCATTTTCTTTACAAGTGATTCTTTTTTGACAAGCCAAGAAGATGCAAATAAGATCTGTAAGTTGGATAGTCTATTGATTTATTTACCCCCATTTTCCACCCCCTCTTTCTATTG